CCTGGTCCTGCTGGCCCCGCATCAACTTGGGTGGGAGGGAAGAGAAGAGGCTGCGCCCGTCCCTGCAGGATGTGGCCATCGGTGAGGGTGCTGAGCACATCTCGTCCCTCTGCCTAGGCGATGTCCACGTCGGCATGGCTGACCGGAACGGGCAGCTGGAGGTGGAGGTGATCCAGGCGAGGGGACTTATCCCGAAGATGGGCTCCAAGGCCATCCCTGGTAGGTGCCTGGAGAGGGAAGGGGGTCGGGGACAGAGGAGGGGTGATGAGGACGGGTGCTGTGCTGGGACCATCATGGGAGCCTGCTCCCAGCCAGGGTTTCTCACCCATTTTCCAACGCAGCCACCTACGTGAAAGTTTACCTGTTGGAGAACGGCGTCTGCCTGGCCAAGAAGAAGACCAAGATGGTGAAGAAAACCTGTGACCCGTCCTACCAGCAGCCTCTGCTCTTCGAGGAGAGCCCCCAGGGCAAAGTCCTGCAGGTGACGTACTCCCCGCACAGGTACCTGGGGACAGGGAGGGATTAGGGGAGCACAGAGAGGGCACAGAAACCCAGCGTCCTCGCCGCTGGCCTTCAGACCACAGCCTCCCCGTCCTCCTCATCAGGTGTTCAAAGAACGTGGAGGTGTTCAAAAAACGTGCAGGTGTAGCACTTCGGGATGTGGTTTAGCAGGCATGGTGGTGTTGGGTTGATGGTTGGACCTGATGGTCTTCGAGGTCTTTTCCAACCTTAACGATTCTCTGATTCTGTGATCACACGGAGTTTTCCCCAAAATTCCCAGCCGGCGTGCGGGGCAGCTCCTCCAACACCTCCTCTGCCCCGCAGGTCATCGTCTGGGGAGATTACGGGCGCATGGACCACAAGTGCTTCATGGGGATGGCCCAGATCGTCTTGGAGGAGCTCGATCTCTCCAGCGTGGTCACGGGCTGGTACAAACTCTTCCCCACCTCCTCGCTGGCCGACTCCAGCATGCGGTCCGCCCCCGCCCGGCCCCCCTGGGGGACCTCCCCCAGCCCCTCCTGCCCGTAGGTCGGGGGGAGAGGCTGGGAGGGGAAAGGAGATGTCCTGACCTACCAGAACTGTTAGTGGATAGCTGTAAATATCCTGTCTTTATTATTTTCTTTTTTTTTTTATCATTTTAAAAATCTCCTTCCCCAAACCAACCTCCTCTCCACGCGCTCCTCCCCGAGCACCCGTCCCAGCGCGCAGAGGGGGACATCGGAGAGGGAGCGAGGGCCGTGAGTTTTGGGGCAGGGGGAAGGAGAAGCTAAAGGAACCCCCAAGCAGCGTGGGGACCAGGTTTCTTTTCCTTTGACTTCACTTCCTTGCCTCTGAGGAATAAGTCGCTTTTCAAGGAAAAAAACTCAGAAGAAAAATCCAACTCAGCACTACTATTTTCTTTTTTTTTTTTCTTTTTTTCCAAGGAATGTAGCATCTTTGATAATGTAGCTTGCCACGTGCTGACACCACTCACTCTGCAATATCTAAGGGACTCCGGACTGACCGGAAACATCTGCCAGTCACTTCCCGTCTTCGTTTTCCAACACAAATCCTGCCACACTGAGCAAGCACTTCTGGGGGCCATTTTTCCTTTTTTTTTTTTAATTTTTTTTTTTTTTCCTGGTAGCCTGTAGCCTGCGACCAGTGACATTGCCAAAGCGAGCGAGAACAGAAGGTGCACTCACCTCACCGAAGCACACGCTGGTCTTATCCTCGTGTTTCACCACTGACCGTGGTCTTGTACAGCCAAAGCAAGACCCCAAATCTAAACTCTATGATGCCTCACGTGAAAATTGGAGTCAGGAGAAGGTGACCTGACGGAGCAGGAGTCCCGTGATGCTGGCTGATGGTCTGGCTCCCAGCCCCCTCCTCCCGTGAGGGCCAGGATGCTCTCCTCGGATCTGGGATGCTCTCCTCGAGGGCCGGGATGCCGTCCTTGGGGGCTGGGATGCTCTCCTTGGGATCAGGATGCTCTCCTCGATACTTGCATTTCAAGCAGGAGCAGAGGGTTTGCCAGACCCCGCGGCCGGACGCACCTTTCTCGAACTCTCGCCTTGTTGGTACGCTACAGGGGAACATCTCAACAGCATCTTCTGCTGATCTGGAATTAGGGTGACAGAGGTTACGAACAAAGGACTAGATGCTTTGACTTTCTTATCAGGATGAGTGTTTTGGGTTTTTTGTTTGTGTGTTTTGTTTGTTTGTTTTTAAAGCAGCATTTTGGTTCCCCCCGAGGGAACCAGTTCTTGTAGCAAAACCGAGAATTACGGAAGCTTTTTTTGAAGGTGCCTAATGAAATTTGCTGAAAATACTCAGGGGAGACACCACTAGAAACTCTGGTTTCTTCATAAGATATACTTAATGACTGTCCTGAAGGATCAGTTTCCAAAAGAGAGAAAAAAAACCAACACACCAAAAGATGAGCAGTCTTGAGACTGGAAGAGGACAAAAGGTTAACGGGGAATTTTTACCGACCAGATGGCTCTGACCTTCAGTCTTTAACACAGATCGACCCACAGCACAGCTGGGATTTTTTACAATTATTTATTGGCAGAGAATTTCACAATGCACAGAGCACAACAAAACCGACCCGGGGTTCTCCTGGCGACACCAGGAACGATGAACCAGCTCCAACCTGGTGCCACAACGGAACAAAACCAAACCTGAAGGAAACGACTGTTGTGACGAAGCCGTCCCCTCCGCAAAGCCAAGCCCGGGGGTCAGCAGAACTCCACCGCTCGGCGGCTGGTTTACCCGACACCGCCACGATTTTAGCGACATCACGTCAAGAAATTTCAGCTGCTGCCATGGACTTTGGGTCTTTACCAAACCAAAATCATCGTGGACCTCTGAGAAGAGAGCAGGCTGGATGCCGCTGGCCGGGGATGGAGAGGGCTCTGCTTCAAGGCCTCAACGCCCGCCTGGTGAAAGACTCAACCCTCACCTGCGAGAGCGGTCAGTGCTTTTCCACGCAGTACGCGCCGATCTCCGAGTGGCAATGCGTAGGGCCGTGGGACACGCAGCAGTCTCCAGCGGTTTGAGGAAGCAAACTCGGTGCCCTGACCACCGAAAGAGGAACAAGCAGTGCATGGAACACGATGGTCCTTCCAGAGCACGACGCAGTTACGCGAGGTCAACGATGTCCGGATGAGGCTATGCTTCCTCTGCCCCGGCGTGCTGGGTTGTTGAATATACCTGAGGGAAGGCATCTTAAGAGGAAAAGGTTTCTGCTCCTTCAAGCTAACGTTGTTTGCTTTTGCTTTACCAACTCTATTTCAACAGGAAAATGAACAACCTGCCTGTGGTGGGACAATAACCACGTCCACGGGGATGCGGAATAGCAGAGCAAGGAGCTCTGCAGGTATTTTCTGCTCCCTGGTGTGGACAAAGCATCCCACCCCCTTCCAGCACAGAGCTCGCAGGCTGGCAGTGCCTCCAGCGCATTGCAGAGCGTTGCTGCTCCCTCTCTCCATGAGCAGCATCCAGCTTTCCTCGAGACACAGAGCAGCAGAGGAAGAGCGGCAGGAACACGGGACAGCCGGGCGCGCGCCCGCAGCAGCAGACGCCCGAGGTCTAGCAAAAGGCTCTCGGGTTCTGTGCCAGCTGAGAAACCTGCCCTTGCCGGCACGTGGAAAATCCAGAGGCAAGAACTATCACCGGGAAGGCTGCCTGGGCACTCTGGGGAACAGCAAAAACCCAAATACTTTAGCTGATTTTTTATCACAGATAGACTGAGGACGCCATGGAGGGTAACAGCGTAGCTACCCTCCCAAACGGCACCCCAGTTCTTTGCTGCAACGTGAGGGGTTCGTGGCGATGATTCCTCCTGCTGGCTGTGAGAGCGGCAAGGTGGAGCCACCGTGCCCATGACTTCCAACGACTGGCACCTACTCACGAGACGGACTGAAACCCATCCAAACCTTGACTTCTTCACGCTCAGCACTACGCGCCCGGTCGCCCCGGGAGCTGGTGCTCGCTCCTCTGGGATCACAGAATGGTAGGGGTTGGAAGGGACCTCCGAGGGTCATCTAGTCCAACCCTCCTGCCAAAGCAGGGTCACCTACAGCAGGCTGCAGAGGACCTTGTCCAGGCGGTTCTTGAATATCTCCAGAGAAGGAGAAGCATCTAGGGAAGCATCTGGGTCAGGACTCACCTCACCCACGTGTGGAAAAACTGAACCTGGAGCAGAGACCGAGTGTGCCGCGTTTACATCGCAACATCAGCAACTTCTCATTTCGTGATCCATCAGACCGTGTGTCAGATGTTTTCCCTCCTCAAACAACAACAAAGCCAAGACACCCAGTCGCTTTCTACACACCACAAAACCCACAAGCTTCTGGACTCCAGGTTTTTCTTCTGGGGGAATGTTTTATTGCAAAGGGCTTTTTTTTTAATGTAGGAAATGATTTGCAAAAGGTGGCTGCACTGACTAGGTGTCACGCGTTAGGTTATTTCCTCTCTTTCCTCCACCTTCCATCATCAAAGGAAATTCAAACCATTTGACTTTCCAGATATTTTCCTCTGGGAAGAACAATTAATATTAAACAGAGTCAGCTTTGCAGCCCATTTTGTACCCAGCACCCTGTGCTGGCAGCACACAGCACCCACTGGAGACCCACGAGACCTTACTATAGCACAGCTGGCAGCAGGTGCTGGTGCCAGCATCAAGGCACCCTGCACGAGTAACAACAATGGATTTTACCAAAAATAGCCTTGAAATGATACTTAACCATGCCCTAAACTCTAGTAAAAAGAAGTCACAACTACGCAGCAAAGCACAGAAAACACTATGGGATTTCACACCCAGGCCTAAGCGATCCCTGGGTTTTCTGGAAGCCTGGAATGGGCTTGATTTGCCAAAGCTGAGCAGAAATTTTCTAGGGCACCAGAAGGCGGGCCAGGCTTCTGGGCTGAAGCAGAAATCAGCTCCTGTTTCATCGGCATCCTGGCATGTTGGAAGCACGGGGAGAGGATGCTTAGACATAGTTTTCCTGGAATCAGGCAAGACACAGAACCAATTACCTGGCCAGCAATCAGGAAACGAAACCTCTTAAGTGGCTTTGGAAAATGCCACAGAGCAACCGAGACAGTGGGCAGCATTCCTTCCACAGCCACCTTCTCCAGCTCCCCAAACCGCTCCTCCAGAGCGGTGACAGACGTAGCTCTCAACTGCACACAGGAGACCAGAAGCTGCTGCAGCACCCTCGCTGGCAGGGAATCACTTCTGCTCACCGTCGCCTTCCCACCACTGCTCCAGCAGCCACCAGACTCAAAGGCAAGCCTGCAGCCACACGCGTGTGCGCACATTGGTGCACGTGAGAGGTGTTAACACCTTTAAATACCTTCACTCGTTTAAGCGGGCTTGAAAATACTCAGCAGCAGCCAGTACAATTTCAGGGTCTTTCCTGATATAAGACCATTTATAAAAACAGCACTGGTGATGTGTTTTTCAGGCATAAAGAGTCCACCTTCTCTTTCCTTCCAGTTGAGTCAGACACTTCTCCGGAGATTGATGTGAAACGCTTGGACAATGCACATCTGTAACCACCTTAGGGGTGCGTGTTTGGTCACCGGTTTGGAAAATAACTGCATTTTAAAGGTCAAGGAACAGTGTTCAGGCACCGTTCTTCTTGATGGCCGAATTCAAAAGTCTAAATGTTTTGCATCACAGATGGAAAACGATATGCAGAGCTCGCTCTGCTTCCCTTTGGGTTTTCATGCCTCCATACAGATCTGCAACACGACCTTCAGTGAAAGCAAGGTTTGCATCCCGCGGTGCGCCAAAGGCACGAGGGCCCGCGCCAGCGTTTCTCTGGCAAAGCTGTTTCAACTGGAAGTCTTCCTTCTACTTCACCTTCACAAGCATGGGAAACCCCCAACTCCTGGCTGGTTGCTAGAGGTGCACGAGTCGTGTTTCTGAGCCAAGAAGAGTGTTGAAAAGCTGCGGAGAATTCTGATGGGAAGAGAGCACCTGCAATAAGCAGGGTTGGCATCAGCGGGGTAAAGCTGTGCTGGGTGTAACGCAGCCG